GAGAGAGAGAGAGAGAGAGAGAGAGAGAGAGAGAGAGAGAGAGAGAAAGAAGACTAGAGACTCTTTGAGGTCTCCCGGGTGACATCTTAAAATACCAGTGGGGGAAATCTCCCGGGGAGGAGGGGGAGGAGGCCCGTGTGACTGTAATCGTCAGATCGTCAGATCGGAGGTTTTACTGTCACTTGGAGCTTAAAAGGAATCTTTGAAATTAAAAGAAGACAGGATGTTGACAGGAAATCTGGCCTTTTTAATCAGACCCCAAACATTTTCTCCTTGAAATCTTTACCATCTGGATCCCCAGTCGCTGCACACGGCAGCCACGTTTAAATGGCTGTGACTCTGTTTAAAGTCTGGTTCAAAAGGCATCTGCCTCTTGGTGTGCCTTGGGTGGGGAGGAGGGGCAGCTCCACCCACCCATCCAGCAGTTCCCAGCAGGTACGCGCGCGCGCGCGCGCCGTAGCCATCAAAACGGGGGTTTTCTGGATAAGCTTGCAAAGCAGCAGTTTTGTTTTACATTTTGCCTTTTCTCTACATAACGAATCCAGACTCCGCTGAGGCTATTTAACTGGGCCTTGGCCGCATGGCCGGGCCAAATTTTGTACCCCAAAGGGCGATGCATGAACTGAGAGCAAGGAGTATCCCCGTTGTTACCATTGCTGATTCTTTTGCTAGGAGCTATAGTCTTCTTTAGCGCCCCGCCCTTAGCAGTGACCTTGCTGATTGACAGCTCTAGCTTAGACTAAATTTAATAAAAAGGGATGGTTTCCTGGGGCTCACATTAGCCATTGGACCCAGGATTTAGGTACGGAGGGTAGAGAGTTCATCCATCCATACTGGAGGAGCTACACCATTTGGCCTGTTCTACCTCTTGGCCTTTCTCAGCTGTCCTCTTTCCTGCCGGTTTCCTCAGGTGGTGGCGCTGGGGGATGTGCCTGATGGGACGGTGGTGACAGTGATGGCGGGCAATGACGAGAATTACTCCGCGGAGCTGCGCAACGCTTCCGCCGTCATGAAAAACCAAGTGGCCAGGTTCAACGACCTTCGCTTCGTGGGCCGGAGCGGGCGAGGTGAGTTGGAGGGACCCTGGGATGACAAAGGTGGGGACAGGAATTGAGGGAGAATTCTGGGTCTCAGCAGGACCCCCGGGCGTAGATCTGCAAGCCCAGTGCTGTCAGGATAGCGCTTCTTCTCCGTTTCACTGCCCTTTTATGTGGATATATTTATGGTCTCTTATTAGTAGAGTTTTCTCCCAGGTTCCAGGGTTTAGCAACTCCTAAAAGCCTCTAGTGCTGCTGCCTTGTCCCATTAGCATCCCTGATCTCACAAAAGATGCTGGAAGAAGGTCCTGTGAGCACAAGTCCAAACAGGGTGTGGATGTCTTTTGGTTGGGGCCTAGGCACCCCAGCCACACGCCCCAGGGGCAGGAGTCCCCGTGGTCTCCGGAGAAGAAGGGGAGAATTCAGAGTGGACCGGTGAATGTTGGAAAGAGAAGTTTGGAGGCTACCATTCCAGCTCGGGGATCACGGGGATCACGCTAGTGGCTACCCTGTCAGTCTCACCCCCCCCCCCCCGTAGTGGCAAGAAGGCAGGACCAGACGCCACAGTGGCTGTCGCCAGGGGCTGTTGAGTGGGAGGCGCTGGGACCCGAAACCCGTCATCAAGTAACTCTGGGGTGGAGGAGCCCTTCTGGTTCCCATGCCCTGAGGATAGGAGGATCTGCGGCTTTAAGGCCAGCCTGCTGAGAAGTGGCTGAGCCTTGAAGTGGCTAGGCAGTCACCTTCCTCCGAAGCTCTGCAAGCCCTCCAGGGTTAGGAAGTGAGTTGGCTCCTGGCTGCCAAGGCTGGGGCAAAATGGTACTTTTCAACACCAATAAACAAGACCTTCTCAAGGCTGGAGTTCCCTGGGAGCCGGCAGCCTGCTCCCACTGGGCATCTGGGCACCATTTTGCCCTCTGCCGCCGTGCGGTATATACATACAAATGTCAAACATATTTTTTGACTTTTCGGCATTAATTAAAACCAGAGCGTTATTTGCATGTAATAACTGTTTACTTGTTACTTTTTATGAAACTGAAATAGTTTACATTCTTTCGAACATTTCCTGTTCCTGTTGGCTCCCTTCCCCGTGCACAGATTTCTTTCAAACGTAGCCCTTAACTGGCTGCAGGTTGATGGATGGAAAATGTTTGCTTTTATGAATTAAGCTCTCATTGCTGCTCCTAATTAGTCTCCAAGCCCCTTTTGTCATCCCCAGTCCCTGAACCCTTTGCAACTTAATCGAAGCCCTGTCCCTGAGTGGACCATCCCTGGTACAGGGCCCAGGTGAGGGGCACTTAGAGCGCCTGTGCCTAGACAAGTTGGTAGAAAGTGAAGCATTCTGGGAGCCCCACAAGGCACTAAGCACTCTGGGCTCCCTCTCCTGGGAAGTGACAGGAAAATTAAAGGGTGATGTTTCTCTGATGTACTGTGGCCTCTCTACCTATTAAGAAGTATTTTTTGCCTTATTTTGAGACAGTCTCACGGCACAGTATAGGCTGCCCTGGAACCTGTTACGTAGTTCACATTAACGGCAGGTTTTCAGCACTGCCTCAGCCTCCTGAGTGCTAGGATCGCGAGTGTATGCTGCCACACCTAGTCCACGGAAGATTTCTTAGTGAATTGTACCACCCCCAGACCCCCAAAGGTCCCTCGGGGAGAGAGATGTTTCTAGGGTGCCACTGATTTGCATGATCTGGGATCTTTTGAGGCTGGGTCTGGGGTAGAAGTTCATTGTCTTCTTGCCGGCCTCAGAGGTTCCGGAAGGAAGGAGGAAGCCCCATAGACATCCCAATGCCAGTAGAACTCTGGACCGAGTGCTCTTGGCTCCTGCTCTTCCAGCCTGCGTTCCAAACCAGCTAAGGACTTCCTGGATAGCATTAGGGAATTGACTTAACCTCTCTGTGCCTCCGTTTCCTTATCTGTGAAATGGGTGGGTGATAATGGCACATTTTAATGAGCTATGGGGTGGATGAAGGAGTTCTCGGGTCCCGAGAGTTGGGTACATGGTAGAGATTTTGCTCTTTAGATGGTTGGCACTGGGAGAGCCTTTGAGGTCCCTTTGAGCACTGCCACACTCTCTGATTCTCTGATTGCAGTGTGGTTTGGCCGGGGGTGGGGGAAACCCAGAAGGTGAGCACTGCGGAGTGGGAGAAATGGAGGCACTGATGTGAGGAAGGGCTGTGTGGAGGTCCAGGGTGCAGGTGGCCACGCCTCTGTCATGCCTGTCCCAACAACTGGGAAATTCCCTCTTGAGAACATTCCTCTGACACGGAGAGCCTGGGCCACTTTAGGTCAGGAGAGAGAACCCAAGAGTCTTCCCTCGCCCTTTGATGTCTGCCAGAACTAAGAATCCTAGATAAAAAGTTCTGTGCATTTTGGCTTTTTTTTTAATTCCTGATTTTGTCTGAATCCCAGAAAGGTCACTTTCCATAAAAGCCAGGCATGCACTAGCACCCTGCATGCATCGGCACCCTGGCACCCTCACCATGCTGCAGGTGTGGACCGTGGACCGAATGGGGAGCAAGCCAGACAGGACCCCCACAAGCTGCAGCCCCCCTCCCTGCCCTAAATGCTTTGTAATCTGCACTTTAGCTTCCTTCAGGGGCCGTTCAGACAGTCTCTGCCACTCCACAGCTGCGAGAAAAGAAAATAAAAATCATTCGCGGCAGATACAGATTTGAATATGTAAATGCCCAGTGAGACCACTTAAACTTGGGTAGTTCATCCTTCAAAGAAGCCCCTGACATGGGGGTGACAGGACTCAAAGTGTGACCGTGGCCTAGCTGTCAGCCTGTGCCAGGACTTGCTGAAGATGGGAAGATTCTCTGTACAGTGTTTTGTTTTGTTTTGCTTTTGCGGGGAGGGGGGGTGTTGTTTTGTGTTTGCTAGGTATCAAAGCCTGACTCTAACTTGTGCCAGCTAAATGATCTTACACTGAGCCCCATCCACAGTCCCCAGATAAAAACAAAACAAGACCCCATCCTCTGAAAAATTCAGTAGTTATTAAAAGAATCCCCAAATTTGCTTTAATTTAGGTAAAACTGACGTAGGTTCATGGCTCAGGGAGTAGGTTTTTTTTTAACACATTTTTTTTCCTTCCTAGGAAAAATTAATTCTTTGTGGTCCTATACAGTACTGGGCTTGTGTGTGCTCACACACGCACACACGCACACACACACACACACACACACACACACACACACACACACACACACTTACTCACTCACCAGTCCACATGTACACGAACTCTAGTGTACAGGCGTCCACCTCTAGGACTGGTGCCCTCTTAGCCCATCGCCATGGCCAGTCCCCAGCTTGTCTTCTAGGAGGCAAAGTAACCACTGGCCTAGGGACCTGTCATTGACTGGCTAAGAAGCAGCCTAGGAATGATGAGTAGGTGCAGGCTGATGGGACCAGTAGACGAGGTGGTGTCTCGCGGAAGCTGAGAGGCTGCAGAGCTGAGGCGCGGTCCCCAGAGTCCAGGCAGCTCCTGTGGGCGGAGTTTGTCCCACTCGTGCTTCCTGACCCACTTGCAATGGTTGATTGTGAGGGCTGCAGAAAGCGACGCGTGTTTCATGCACCCGGAACAGTCCAGCCGTCTGCTCTCCAGCTAGGGCCAGCTCTCCAGTTCCTGGACTGCAAATCCTGGCCTTGTGGCCTGGCCCCATTGCGTGGTTACTGGGCTCCTGCACAGCCACCCACCTCCTCCATCTTCCTCTCAGCTTCCTGTTCCGAAAGAGAGATGCTCGCACCGCACCGAGCACCACCAGGGGGAGAATTGGGTTCTGGGGGCAGCTGGCCCCACCCATGCTTCTCGAGGTTTCTCAGGCTCCTAGACCCCAACCCGATGTCCTGATTCCCTTTCCTCTCTGTGGGTAGCTGAGAAGGCAAGGAACTAACTGTTGAGGTCTGTTGGTGACCTCAGGGGTGGCCTGTGGTTTGCTCCCTGCGGGCAGGACGGGAGGGGAGTGGCGGGTGTTTGCGGGGCAAGGAGTGGGAGGTGGGGGAGTGGGGGTGGAGCAGCTGCAGCAGATTCTGGGTCCCGCTTGGATACTGTGCGAGCTGACTGACCATGGCCCCTCTGTGAGCCTTCAGTCTTTGCATCTGGGAAACTGCTGCATTTAAAATAGTTAATGCAGTCTCTACCACACACCTGGTGGTGTGCTGGGGACTGGGGGCAATAGTGTAACACTTCTGGTTACCGTGAGCTTAGCACTTAGGAGAGGGAGAAGCAGTAGGCTCGAACATTGATCCTGAAGGGAACTTTGCAAGGGTTACCTCAGTCGGGGTTTCAGGGCAGGAGGTGCATGGGGCTACAGAGGGGAATAGCTGTTAGGGAGGGGGTCGCGGTGCGTTGCCACTCTGTGGAACAGATTCCATAGTAAGTTCTAGGCACGGGTCTGATGATGACCATAATACTGACTTTATGATGAGCGGGGGGGGGGGGGGGTTCGGAAAAATCTGTAAGGACTGTCGCGTGATCTCTGAATGTCTGTGTAGCTTGTTGGTGGCAAGGTCAAGGTACCGCTCATTAAACTTGTGTGGCTTGTGGCTTGCACTCTGGCTTGAGAGAGGCTCTTCCAGTTAGGGGTTAGGGACAATACTATTGCAAATTTTCTATCCCAGATCCCTGGCCCGATCTATGCTAAGAAGGGTCAACCACAAAGGCCAAACTGAAAATGTCCACTTTGTTTGTTTGGGGTTTTGGGCCCTGGGGATGGAACTCAGGGCCTGAAGCATTCTAGACAAACCTTCTACCACCGAGTCACACCCCCTGGCCTCTGAAATGTCACCTTTAAATAAAGTGGCCAGGGAAAGCCCTCGTTGAGAAGGTGACTCTCCAATACAGATTTAATCCTCAGAGTCAGGAGTCCTGGCAACTAGGGCTCCAGGTATCAGCCCACCCCACCTTCACTGTGACCCCAGAAGCAATGAGGTCAAAGAGCCAGACAGACCTGCTTCCCCTTAGTACCCCCTTGGTTGGGAAGAGGAGTTTAGGAGAGAAATGGCAGAGAGAGGAGTGTCCCCCAGGCAAGTGGAAAGGAATCTGTGGCCACCTGCCCCGGGTTTCCCTAGACTGCAGTTTCTCTTTCCAGAAAAGAAGCAAATGGCTTCTGGCCTGAGGGTGAGAGCCAAGCTGGCTTTCCTAATCAAACATCCAAGGATGGATGCTTTGGCGTTTGCTTCCTGACCTCTGCTGCTGGCCTGGGGACCCTCTTCCAGTGAGGGAGCCATTTCTCAGGGTGCTCCGGCTGTATTCTCCCGAATCCCAGAAGCCCTTGGGTTCGGAGGCTCAGCTGGCTGGCCTGCCTGCCTTAGCCATGCTCAGGCGTCTCCTGTTTCCAGGGCTAGAATTTTCCCTTGAGCAAAGAGAGCATTAAGATGGCTTCTGTCCTCTTGCACAGCAGGGCTGTGGAAACTAACCCACTCCTTAGGGCACCATTAGCGAGACCTGTCTCCAGCAGGCTGCTGGGGGCCACTGGGGGGCCACTCCGAAGAAGCACAAATGCCTGGACTTGGGCTGCCCACGGGGAGTTCCCGAGCTTCTAACTCGGGTTGACAGTTAGATCCAGAGAAGCAAAGCAGGTCAAGGGGAAGTCGGGCTTGGGTATCTGTGGAGTTCCCCCCACTTCACCCCAGTCTCATCTTAAACAGTAACGGTGCTGGCCTAGACCTTGGAGAGACACGCAAAGGCACAAAGCTCTGGACACAGCCCAGTATACGAAGTGGCAGAATGACTAAGTTGCTTTAAAAAAAAAATAGACTTGCCCTTTGACACCCCCTCACCTTAGACCTTGCGGTGGGGCCGGACAGAGCCTTCATGGCAGAATACCTTGCAAATACACCTTCATCTGTTTCCTGCCTGGGAAGACCTGTCTAACACCGAGAAAGAGAACGCAGGGTGAGAACGGGCTGAATCTAGAAATCGGAGTGTGGTGGCCATCACCCACAGTCCATAGCTATGGACAACCGTCAGATGGAGGGGCTGTCAAAGGTCCTCAGGCCCCAGTGGGAAAGTCTCAAGAGTAGGAGGCGGTGATGTGTGCCAGATTCTGGTGATGGATAGTGGCCAGAGACAAAGTTTCAGTCTCAGTAATAAAGGAAAGGCCAACAAAATCGAGAGCAATTTGAGATCTTCCATCACGATAGACACGAGCCAGTGGCACTTGGGTGACGTATGGCCTCACATCACTCATGATGAGGTATGTGTCCCCAGAGAGCCAAGATTGGTCCCCACAGCTCACCCCCTGAAGTGGTGTACTCGCTCAACACTTCTTGCGACTCTCTGGGAAGAAGGCAGAGATGCTGACAGAGATTTTGACACATGGAAGGTCACTTCCATTTTATTTTAAATGGTAAAGATTAAAAAAAAACAGAAAAGTATTATTTTAAAAGATTTTTCCCCTCTCAGGAATTTTGAATGGAGACGTTGGAGCCAAATGTCTATCTAAAAATAGAACAGGGTTCTGGAAATAACAGTTATGTCTACAGCTCTCAGGTCGGTCCTCCTGGAGCTCTGGCTGCACACAGCAGCGAGAAATGAACAACGACATCAGGAGGTGAACCAATCAGAGCAGAGACTTCCACCAGGGGAATAGTTAGCAGCCATTAAAAATTGAAGTTTATGGGGAACTTGTAATGCTGTCGCAGGGGAAGAAAACAAGACAGGGCTGGAGAGATTGCTCAGCAGTTAGAGCACTGGCTGGTCTTGCAGAGGACCTGGGTTCAATTCCCAGCACCTACGTGATGGTTCACGACAGTCCATAAATATGGTTCCCAGAGATCTGATACCCTGTTCTGGCCTCTGTGAGTGCATATACATACATACATGCAGGCAGGCAAAACACTCAGACAAATAAAATAAACAATTTTTAATTAAAAAAAAAAAAACAAGATAGGTCCCAGTACAGTGCTTAGGAGGCAGATACAGGAGGATCTTTGTGAGTTAGAGGCCAGCCTGCTCTACACATCGAGCTCCAAGACAGCCAGAGTTACATAAAGAAACCCTGCCTCAAAAACAAACAAACAAAAGATAAAAAGGAAAAAAAAAAGCTATCGATTTTAGTGCCACAGCAACTGTGTAAATATGCGTGCCCACACCCAGGGGGTGGAAGAGAAAACCCCAAATGATGCTGGCGGTTATCTCCGCTAGTGGAACTGGGGGCGGGGTTTCTTCTTCTCTTTCAAATATGTTTTGTGTTCTCATCTTTTTCTATAAAGATCACTAATTCTTTTCAGGGAAACACACACACCCGTTTGTGATTTTTACCTCAAAACGATATGAGTCCCTAAACAGAAAGATTATCAAAAAATATAGTCACACAGAAGGGAGAGAAGCCAGGAGGGCGGTGTATGGTAGGACACGGGGGCCACACCTCCTGAGGCCTGGAATGACAGGCCCACAGCTTGAGCTGTGCTCTCCCTTCCCTCTCTTCGTGCCAAGTCAGGGACTGTGGCAGCAGAATGCAGGTGGGAGTCTGGGGGGCAGCGAACGTGTCTGGCCTCAAACTCCTACCTTGATTTTCCCAGGGAAAAGTTTCACGCTCACAATCACCGTGTTCACCAACCCTACCCAAGTGGCCACCTACCACCGAGCCATCAAGGTCACCGTGGATGGACCCCGGGAGCCCCGACGTAAGTGCCACCAAGCCCTGGCCAGGGCAAAGGGTCCAGGGGAGAAGGGCAGCAGGGGTTGGATTGGAACTTTGTGTCCCACTCAGAGCTGTCTTTAACTGGCTCAGCCCAGGCTCTGGAGGGTCAGCAAGGAGGCCAAGAGAGCAGAGCTCTCTAAGGACAGCCTGGAAGAGGGATGGAACAATGGGGGTGCATTTGGGATGGGGATTAGTTGACTCTGCACTGATGAGGGATATAGGGGAACAGCCACCAAGATTGAAGCTGGTCCCCTGTGACACCGTGAAGCCACCCCGCTTCTGAAACCGCTGGATCTTCAGGGCCCAGTCACACTGACTCTGGGATCCACTGAGACAAGAATAGGAGTGCTCTTGGAGTTTGCAGTATATACTGAGCCCCGACTGCATCCAGGGAGTCTCGGTCCATCAGAGTCGTGTCTGCAGCGGGAGGTGGAATTTGCAGTTTAGGGAGGTGGAATTTGCAGTTTCTTCAGGGGCTCCTCATGTCACCAGAGACAAAGGGTGTCCCTGTGCCAGGGAGGTGGTGGCCCAGACCTGATGCTGGGTGTTCGTGGGGACCTTGACCTATGCCAGTGGGGTTCTGCTTCTGCCTCAGGCTTCCCCTCAGGCTGGTAGGGCTTGTAATAGAAGGGCAGGTCCTGGGACCTCTGCTTGGTGCCCAGGAGACTCAAACGAGTGTGGCTTGCATTCACATTGGTGAGTGCCATTCAAGCCTTGGAGGCAAGCTTGACTTCCCTCAGGTAGCTCTTGGGAGGGGCCCAGAAATGGACCAGTGACCTTCGGGGAGTCTCTTTGCCTCAGGGTCACCTCCTCCCATGCCCTTAACTGTAGGTCTTAGACAGGCCACTCCCAGCCTCGTTTTTCTTGTCTGAAGAATGGGTTTGCACAAATAGACTGTGTGGCCAGGAGGCAGGCACTGAGCACCTTCTCTGTTAAGGGAGCTAATCTACACTCCCCCTCCCAGCAAGCCTGCAGCTCAGTGGCGGTGTGTACATAGCAGAGGGCTTTGGAGCATAGAAAGGCTTCATGCTCCCCCGCCCCCATGTCTGGTCCTTCCCCTTGCACTCCTACCACCACCATTGGGAGCAGCAGGGTAGCAGGGTAGCTGCTGGAGCCTCGTTAAAGGGGCCATCGCTCTGTATACTCTCCCCAGAGTGGGCTCAGCATGAAGATGCAGCACTTAGGGCCACCAGTGGGTCTGGGAGTTAGGGGCAGGATGGAGAGGTCCCAAGTGTCCCCAGAGCCCCCCCTGTTCATCTGCTAGCCTAGTGCTTTCAGAGGCCTGTGGATGAGGATGTGGCTCAGCCTGCCCAGGGGTCCTGTGAGTCCTCTGCCTACCTTCTCCTGGTTCCCCAACTCCACACCTTAGCTGGCCCTTTCTGTAATAAAGTGGCTGGGAGGGGGACAAAATAGGAAGAGGTAGTTGGAGTCAGAGGCTGGGATTGCTGTGTGGCCTCGATTGCTGTGTGTACTATCCCTCTCTGGGCCTTCTTAATAGCTCCTTTTGCCACAGAGCAGAGGGGAGTGGCCATTCACCAGGATACCCCATCTTCGAGACATGCTTACTCCTGCCCATGGTCTACCTGACCCAGAAATCAGGTCTGCAATACCCAGCCTCTAGTCTCAATATGTTCATCCTTCCTCTATGCTGGACTCAGTTTCCCTATGTAGGAGAGGGAAGACCCCCACACAGACACACACGCAGCTGCTGGCCACCAAGTGATCCTCTTTCATAGCCCCCCTGCAGTCTTTGCATGAGCCAACCCTCTGCAACATTCCTCACCCTGGGGAGGTAGCACCACTGCCTAAGGTGACCACAGCATCTCCAGACTCTGAGTGGGCCCCCCCACCCCGAGGCCCAGGAGGCCCAGGTTGAGTGGGATTTACAGGGATTATGCAGTTCCTGACTTTTCAGTGTTGACCCACGGGAAATGTCACAACTCTCTGAGACCTGACCAGCCTCCTAACTCTCAGATTTCTGTACTTTCCCCCTGCTCAGCTGGCTCCGGGACCCCCGTGAGGTCAAAGCCTCTGTGGGTAGGTGGGGCTGGCCCCGAGTCCAGGAGTCTGCATCCCTGAGGCCCAGCTGTGGTTTCTGTGGCCAGGCCGTTCCCCTCTGGTGCCTTGCAGAGCGTGCCCAGCCTGCAGCCGGGTGGCCAGCTGGGGCTGAGGCTGGCTCAGTGGCTTCCTGCCTGTGTGGCCTCGGTTTGTGATGCATCCCTCTCAGTCACTGGGGACTGGTTCAAATGCAGGTTGCTGAACTGGATTCAGCATCGGGAATGGGAGGTGATGCAGGGCCTGACCATACTGGCGGTGACCACAGTTTGGGAACATCTAGCCTCATCTGCCAGGCTCAGCAGGTGCTGGTACCTACAGTGTGGGACCCAGCTTCCTCACCTTTCCAGAAGCTGCGGGCATGGCCTGGAAGTGTCTCTTCCCCTAAATGCACACAAAGCAACTCCCACAAATAGTTTCCCGGGCACCTGACATCCCTCCAGCACTGTTCCATGTGCAGGGGACACCACCCTGAACCCCACCTGCTCGTTCCCACCCTCCTGGGTCTCACATTCCAGAGAGAAGGGGAAACAGGTTTTACAGTGACCGTGGCCATGGCCAAATCTGTGGAGACTCTGCCTTCCTCTCCTGCACCCTCTTCCCCAACTCACGCCACTCCAGCTGCTGGTCTCTGCCAGGCGCACTCCTGCCTCAGGGCCTTTGCACAGCTGTTTCCATGCCAGAGTTGTGCCTGCACACCGGTCTGCACGGTCCACCGTGCCAGGGCTCTTTTCTTGTGCTTGTCAATCACTTGCCCCTGGCCCTGAGGATACCCACACAAACATTTAGTCAGTCAGGAATAAGCTAAGCAAATGGGGTGTTCATTTCAGCAAAGCTGAGAGGAGGCTGGAGTGGGCAGAGGGTGGGCAGTTGCAGGAGGCAGTAGGGGTGGGGGGAGTCTCCTGGTGAGGTCCAGTCCTGAAGGAAATGGACCAATAGTAGTGTGGCCTCTTAGGACCTGGTTTGGGCAGGGAGAATGACCCAGTGTCACACGTGGGCCTTGGAGAAGACTGAAGTGTGGTGTCACCCTGGGCTCCAGGTGTGGGGAAGCTGAGAGACAGCCACACCTGGTCATTCAGTACCCCCGGTCCCCCAGAGCCTGGGAGCACTCACTAAAGTCTGGCAGATCCTTGAGAACCCGCCCAGCGGAAGAGAAAGGGTTAACCTCAGACCTCCCAGCTCCCCTAATCAGGCCCAGGCCTGGAAGCCCCAGTTGCAGCCCTGGGCGGGAGCTACCTCCCTGCCACTGGCCCTCAGCCAGGCGGCTTCCCTGCCCCGCCACCGCTGGTTTTCATCTGCTCACAGGGGGCCAATTCACAGCAGACCACCCCAGGTCCGGCACCCGCCTGCCATCCCAGCGGCTGATCCGAGTCCGGTGTAAATCTCCCCACAGGCCGCAGAGCAAGCTCGGCAGCAGGCGCACAGTGGCTGCTGTGTGTGGGTTGCGGAGTAGCAGGCTGCAGGGCGGCTGTTGGGAAGCGCTGAGCCAGCGCAGGGCCTGGCGGCTGGGGCTCACCTTGTTCCCGGGCCCTGCCCGACTTTGCCTCTCTCTGCATCCTACCTCCTGCCTCACTGAGGCCAGACATGGAGCTGGCCTCCTGCCAGCCGGAGCCCCGCTCGCTCTCCTCTGTCAGAGGAGCTCTGTGGGCTAGGCAGCTCATTCCAGGTTTTCTATCACCTTGTGACCTTGGCCTGGTGCCTTCTCCTTTTCCACTGTGAAGCTGGGGGTGGGGTGGGGGCAAGGGAGCCTCCCAGAATGCTGTGGCCTTGAAGTTGTATGTGTGGTCCACCAGGCCTAGGAACCCCAGCCTCCTGCCCCACTGGCTGGAGGCTGGGGCTAACCCTGGCAGATCCACCAGGAATCTGGCAGGTGGAGGAACCCATGCTGGCCTGGTTGGGGACAGTAAGGGAGTCCCAGCTGGACTACACAGTGTGTCCCTGGGGAGTCTCCCAGTCCAGGGGCTTTGATCTGGGTCACCTGCCTGTGAGGTTGGCTAATGGCTTGGCTCTGTTGCATGGGAGTTGGTGACCTAGGAGTGGGAGTCAGGTCAAAGCAGGGCTGATGCCTCCCCTGAAGATCAGAGCCTTTGGGTGTGTTCTCAGACCCGACTTCCACCAAGGGTATAGGGAGGTTCTAAGCTTTCGTCCCCATTTTACAGAAGAAACCATGGAGGCCCAACATCAGCCAACTTTCCCAGAGTCACCATTGGATGATGGCTGCCTACAGTGGGCCTGGGGCTACTGGCCCTGGGTTGGGCTAGCTGAGATCTGTCCTCCCACAGACAGGGTCCTGGGCTCTCACTGTGATCAAAGACCCCAGCAGCAGGCTGACAGGCAGTGAAAGCCAGACCCACAAGTCAGGGGCCCTTCCCCAGTACCCTCCTCCCCATGAGGACTCTACTTTCACCACGCCTGTCTACCTACCCCTAGGGTAGGATGACAACCACTTTACAGATGTGGAAACTGAGGCCCCGAGGAAAGCAACTTGGGCTGCGGTAGCTGAGACTGGCAGTCAACCCTGAGTTTCAAAACAAGGCAGAACCCATCAGGGCTCCACTGAGACCTAGTTAGGATTTTTGTTGCTGTAATGTAACATCCCAGCCACAAGCAAGGGGTTACAGGTGATGTCATCTTCCAGCTCCCAGGTCACACTTCCTCACTGAGGGAAGTCAGGGCAGGAATTCAGCACAGGAACCTGAAAGCAGGAGCTGACTCAGAGGCGGCGGAGGAGCGCTGCTTCCTGACTTGTTCCTCGGTGATGGAAGATGACGGAAACCCGTTCCTCCCCAAGCTGCTTTTGGTCTTAGTGTTTTATCTCAGAAACAGAAAAGTAACCAAGACACCTGTCACGTCCCTCTGCTCATGTCCCTCCCCACAGAGTGCAGTCTGGGCTGGGTCCTAACACCATGTCACACCCTGAGTGTCACAGCCTTGCCCCTTCCTGAGATGGGCTCCGGGGATAAGAGGTGACCAGTTGTCTCCTGTGAGCTGTCTGCCTGTCAGTGACTCTTCCCAGCCTTCCGTTCCCCACCTGCACAGTGGGGGCATGCCTCCTAAGCCTGCTGCGGAGAAAGCTCCCTGGGCCCAACAGGCTCCAATTTCTTCTGCTCTTAACTGTTACGGGGCTGTTCACAGGGCTCTTAGGTTGAACCCAAAGGGTAGGGAGCCTTTCCAGTAGAGGCTGACATGCACTCAGGATAGAGGGTATGAGAGAGGACAAGCTAGTAGCAGCAGGAGGCCAGAGCTGTTCAGGGGCTGCCTCTCTTTCTACTGGCAGCTTGAGGCCAGTATGACCAATGCTAACTTCTTGCTTTTTTAAGTTAGTAACTCTGCAAAGGAAGGGACTTAGGTGAACAGGCTGTGCCGTGGGTGTCGGGGGAGACAGTGACTGAGGCACCGAAGGGCAAGACCCAGGTGACTGAGGGAACCAGACAGCTCCATGCTCCCACTGTGGGAAAAGGAATAAAAGGGTTTTTCTGTGGTCCTCCTCTCCGGGCACAGGCCAGGCACTTCCGTTCAGTTCTGTTCCCAGCATGAGGGCCTCAGCCTCGCGGCTCTGAGACTTTCTGGCGCCCTAGCCACGTGGGGTCACCAGGCTCCCCTCTGCCTCTTCCCTGGCAGTGGCTTTAGTACTGCGCAGCCCCAGGAAGCAGTCCTGTACCATCCTGTCTTCCAGGGAGCTTTCCCTGGGCAAGCCACTGGGTCCCAGCCGGCTGTGAAGCCTCAGTGTCCCCACTGACCCGTGGGAGCTCCAAGGGGAAATAGTAGAGAAGGAACAAGGGGTCTTGAGTTAGGGAACTGGGCTGTCTTCTGGTTACCACCCTGGCCTCAGTGTCCTGCTGTGCCACCGGCCTTCCCGTGGTCACTGTGATAGCGACACTGTAGCCCACGGGGAGGGAGGTGTGATGGGTGAGGCACCTGTTTAGGTCCATCCTTGAACCCAGACTGTCCCCAAGCCCCCTCTCCTTCCGCTGGTCACAGGAACAACTGCAGACACACAGTACACTGTGACTCAGAACCAGGGACCTCTGCTCACCAATGACGACAATGGCAGGCCTGAGGTTTTGCACTAGCATTTGTGTGGCCCCATTGGCTGCCTTGGAGCTTGTGGTTGACTGACACTCCCATTTTATCGCACCCAAGCTGCCATCTGGCCAACCCACAACCTCCCATCTATCCGGTGGGCTTCCTGCCTGTTGAGATGTCTTGGAATTCAGTGTCCCCAACTCATCCTCACATCCCTGCCATCTCCAATAGCCTCAGAGCTGGGTTTGGGCACTTCTACTGAGCAAGAAACCACATCGTGGCACCATGATGCCAGTCGGTCGTCCTCAGTGAGTCAGGAGCCTTCTGTCCAGTCTGCAGCCACCCACCTGTCTCATCACAGGCTTGCCCAGGCCCCCAAGTCCCCAGGCCCTCAGGGCACGCTCTCCTCTTCATTTCCTAGAGCCTTGGGATTGCGACACCTGCTGCCAAGTGTCCCGCTGGCCTCGGCTGGCGGCTGGCGCTTTATGAGAGGACAGCAGGGTTCCCTGGCTATGGCGGCCTGGACCCCCTGCTCAGGTCCTGAGGCTCTCCCGAGTCCAGTTGGACCTGTGGCAGGCATGTGTGGGAGCGCTGAGATCCATGAGACCCAGCACCTTTATGCTTCACTTTCAAAGTCAGGAATCAGGTTCTTTTCACAGCTTCCTCAGGTCCCTCATCCCAGCAGGGGTCATCAGTCATTGCCAAAGCCCTGGACTCACTTGTCCAGCCTCAGGTAGAACATTGAAAGGCCCTATCGCACCACTCAGCTTTATGTCAATCAAGAAAAGTCCTTGTCAGTCCAGACACAAAGATTCAGGTAAACTTCTCATGATAAACACCCTTCTTCTTACAATTTCATAGCTTAGGAAACCCCGCCATGTCACCGTGTGACCTCAGACAAGCCTCCACACCTCTGAGCCATAGTCCCCATTTGTACAGAGAAAGCCTGGGAGACAGAATGAGCTAGTGAGTGGACAGTAGGCAGAGATGCCTGACAGGAGAAGAGCATCCAGTGATGTGGCTTCTTCTTGTCATATTCACGAGCTCTCTAGAGTGGCAGGGAGGACATTCGGAGAGGCTGGTCACGGTCCTCTCTTCATAGATGAGGAAAGTGAGCTCCCAGGGCTATCACTCTAAGAGAAAGCGATAGAATAACACACCCAGGCTGAGAACATTCTAGAAAGTTCCAAGGGAGTCTTTCTCCTCCATTTTCCCAAGCACATAACCCCCAAAAAAGGCTGAGAAGAGAAATTTGAGAGTTGGTGAGAACAGACGCTTGCTATCAAGGGGCCTCGGGGGCCGAGGCTCACCTGACATTTTTATTTTAGGAACTCAGTGTGTTGTTTGAGAAAGGAAAGATGGGTGACTGACAAGTGTGTGGCACTAGGTGTCACCCCCAGATGTCCCTCAGCCATCGACGGGTGCACAGCCAGCCAGTGGCTCTGCAGAGGTGGCAGGGAGGACTGGCCGTTTCCTAAACATGACACTCCACCAGATGCATCGGTCCCTTGGCCTTGTGTCTGGGCAGGGGCTGGAAGCCTGTGTACCCTCAATGACCATGCCCCGCCCTCCTTCCTGAGGCCCCAAGGGGAAGCAGGTTTGAGGGTGGTTAGGTCAGCCAGAACTAAGTGATCAGCACTCACTTCCATGACCTCATGGCCTCACAGGGGTGTGTAGTGTATGGGGATCTGCATGGTCGGGGTGAGGGGCGTATCGCACCTCCTCCTGACTCCTTGGCAATGCCTGCCCAAGCCATTCTTCTAGGCCTGTTGCTGCCTGGGTATTCTTTTCTGTCAGACCATGCTGGGGAGGATTAGGTAGTTCAGAGCTTACCACCACAGCATGCTGGCCCAGTCAGAGCTCCTGGGAGTGATGTAAAAATAACCATTCTGAGGTGAGATCAGACAGCCTGAGGAGGCACGTAGCCCCAGTCTCTGTTTTGTTCAGAAAATCAGAGAGTTCCATAGAGGCCCAAATTAGACTCCAGGGAGAACTTCCCAACAGGGCACGGTGTTGCAGTGTCTAATGGGCTCGCCATGCTCCACAGGGCACCGGCAGAAGATAGAAGATCAGACCAAGGCCTTCCCCGACCGCTTCGGAGACCTGCGCATGCGTGTGACGCCCGGCACCCCCAGCCCCCGGAGCTCTCTCAACACCACGAGCCACTTCAGCAGTCAAGCCCAGACCCCAATCCAAGGTATGGTGCTCTGTGGGGATCAGGCCGAGCTGTGGAAAGGGAGCCAGGATGTGGTCCACTTACCCCTCGCGAAGTCCCTGGGGAAGATAGCTCCCCACTGTTTCTTGGTGGACAGCTGGGGCAGTTTGCAGTTTGTACCACCAGGTCGACTCGTGCACAGTGCCTGGCCCTGGGATGAGCATGAGATGAGGTGACCATTCCTCCCTCTGAAACTCTCTATTCCCTGGAGACATGAGGGTAATCCCATGGTGGGCATAGAGCCATAGCCACCGGGTCCCCACTTTGCACACACTCCCACTAACTCAATCTTCTCGTGGTGAGGGGAAATACCGTGGGGATATCTCATTTCCTTCTTCCCTTGAGACAGGGCTTCTTTGTATAGCCCTGGCTATCCAGAACTACCTCTGTAGACCAGACTGGCTTCGAACTCACAGAGATCCGTCTGCCTCTGCCTCCCGAGTGCTGGGATTAAAGGTGTGCACCACCATCACCCAGCAGGTTGGGGATATCACTTCCTGGCCCTGGGTGCTATTCACACCTGAAACTGTGGCATGAGGTGCCAGCACCGCCTCACCCGGTCTCTCCACCCCTAGACACGCGAATAGAGAACAGTAGGGCTGGGCTCTGTCCCCACGACCTAGCTGAGGCGGCTAGGCTGCAAGCAGATCTCCCTGAGATCTGTCAGCTCAAGGCAGGTGTTCGGCCAGCCCCGCGGCAGGCATTGGACTTCTGTTAGAAGTCAGAGAGAGGAGGTTAAATGTAGCTGGCTGGGGCAGACAGTAACAGATGTCAAGCCACCGAGGTCTGAGAGCTGGCTGCTGCCCTGTGCGGTACCTGTCCCTTCATCTTAACCAGCGTTGGCTCAGGGTCAATGTGGCAGATGGGTGAATTGAAACTAAAGAGGATTGGTGCCACCCTTGGGCCATGTAGCCTTCTGGTGACTTAAGTTCAATGTCTCCTGTGGCCTGTCCCTAGGTTAGGACTTCTGAGGCCTGAGAAGGGATTGGACATGATGGCCAGAGTAGGCTGCATGCTGGCTCCTCTCTGCCCTACCTTATGCCCTTCTCCACGTTGGTCTTTCCATGAGGACATTAACCCCGTGTCCTAGGCATGAGATAGTATCAGGGGCATGGCACCATCCCTCGGTGTGCCAGGAAGCTGACTCAAGGTAAGGAAAGGCCTTACCCCCAGCTTGCCGAAGCCCATGGACTTGTGACTTTGAGATTCAGCTCTTGAGCCCTGGGCCTTTGAGGTTCATTTCTGACCTCAGTAAGTGCCCTGCATCTACCCCATGCCCAGCCCTGTCCAGGCGCTTGTCCTTGCCCCAACTCCACAGGCCAGCACCTACAGAATCTGGCCTGAAAGAGATGGATGGAGTCCAGCCAGGAACACCCCGAGTCCAATAGTGCTGGACAGTGCCTCCTGTCCACCAGTTCCTGTGAGGGACGAGCACATGGTTGCCCTGCCACAGGGAGAGGGTATGGTCTTTGGACTCTGCTCCCTGGAGCCAGACTCAGCCTCTCAACAGCCCTGGGCCTCACCTAGCCAGTGTGGCAGGGATGGCCAGTCCTTCTCTTGCTGCATCCTGATATAGGACTCCTCAGCCCCATGTTAGCGCCAACTGGCCTGTTGGGGTTCAGGAGAGGGTCCCGGATACCCACCGCAGGAAAGAAGCATGGACTTCATTATCAGGTCCACCTGAGCAGCTCCAGCTCCGCGTTGCCTTGGCTGTGTGATCTTAGGCCAGTCACCTGACTTCTCTGAGCCTCAGTCTGCCCATCCATAAAGTGAAAAGTGGTCTCCATCAGAGCTGCTTTGGCAGGCTCAGGTATGAAGAGTCACAGTTTCTGGGCCTCCGTCCTGGTGGGACCAAGTCCCAGAAATCCTCCAGAATACCTCACCACTTTCCTTGGTGCTGGTTAATCGCTTTGACCCTAGCTTTGGTTACTGCAGGCAATGCCAAGATGGGGGGGGTGGGGGTGGGGAGGGCTTGCCGCAGACGCCCACAATGGGGGCTTCTCACGGCTCAAAGGGCTCATTCAGCTGCACGCAGCAGCTGGGGCAATTTGGAGAAAAATGAACCTTTCCTCCCGCTGCTGGGTTGGCTGTCTGACAGTGGTCCCGGCAGCTCAGATTTCCGGGGGCTGTGAGGCTGAGGCTGAGGATCTGAGGGGGGACCTAGGGCAGGTACTTCCCCACCACTCTGGAGGAGAAGCGGGAGCAACAAGGAGAGAGGAAGGAGGGGTCAGTGGCCTCTCCGCGCATCCCAGTCCCTCTGCTGCAGGGCCGCGTCCCACTGCCCCATCACGAGTCTTGTTCGGTCTGCTTGGAGAAGTGAGGTCCCTGAGAGCAGGCGTCAGTGTGTGGAGTCCTGTCGTCTTAGAATGTCCCCTCCACGAGACTCCTGCGTGTAGACGGGCATCAGGCACCTCGACCTCCCAGACCTCAAGGCAGACTAAGCAGCCAGAGAGCCCTCGGTTTTCACGTCAGAAAGCCTCAGCTGCCTGACCCTTGTCCAGTCTCCCCACCTGGAGCCAGGGGCAGCCCTCTGTGGTGCTCCACAGCCAGAGACGCTGATGCACGGAGACCCAAGGGGTAGCAGATACCTGAGGTCACCTAACGCCTTTGGCAGAACCCAGGAAGCAGGAGCCCTTGAGCCTGCATCCCCAGACACAGCTGCTCATGGCCAGGGGGTCCACCCAGAGTGGGCACAAATCCTGCTGGCCCGGAGATAGGCCTCCCCTGGTCTTCCATCCATGATGGAGGAGACAACAGGCTGAGGCTTGGCAGGCCAAGGTTCTGGGGACTGTTCCCTGTCAGGGTATGAGGAGGGCCCCAGGTCAGGGTTTCACTTTATAGGGGACCTAAGCCAGCCACTCTGGGTACCCACAGCAAGAGGTGTGATGGCGGCTGCCTCAGTCAGAAAGAGCAGCACGGGCTGCCGGACCTGGCTCAGTTCTCAGCGTTTTAAGTGGATTAACAAATTTGATCCAGGTCCTAAGGAAATTGATGCGCGAAGAGGTTAAGTGATTTGACAGAGGACACACAGGGAATGAGAATCAAAGCCAGGAAGAGTGAATGGCTCCAGAGGCCCTATGGAAAGACCTGCTGCCTCCACAAAGAGGCAGTGCCCAGCAGGCAATGTTGGGGCTCAGGACAGTGCGCTGTGTGATCCGCATGCCTCTCCCTTGCTGGGTCCCTGTTTTCCCACCAATGGCATTAGGTTTGTTCCCAAAACCCACGGGAATGCTGGGATCGGGGACCCGTGATTATAGATGTAGGTAGACAGTTGCCACATCCCCTCTGAGAACCCACTGAGAAATCCAGACCCCTGGCATTGCTGTGCGGGCTCATACCACATACTAACTAGACTGGGGTCAGGACCTGCAAGTGTTTCTCTTTGCAATGGAGGTGGTGAGGGTTTCATGCTTGTAGTTGTGTGACTAACAGGTAGCTTCAGCCCGCAGGGCAGCCTTAGAAGACATAGGCTCAGGAAGTGGGGGTGAGGACCAGCAGAGCCCGCCCCTCCAGCCAGGACCCCAGTCTACAGGTGTGCCCATTCAGAAGGCACGGGGAAGCCTGTGTGCTGCCGCCCAGTCTCTGTTACTTAGCCCATGGTTTCTCCCAAGATCAGAAGTGACATGGCTGTCTCACTGTCCTGCTGAGAGCTGTCCTGACCTTTATCTGATGCCTTGACCCTCTTGACTGTGTAGTTTACAGGCAGGAGCTGTTGTTTATCATGCATACATGCATACACGCATGCATGCGCGTGCACACACACACACACATACACATACCGTAGCCCCAACGGAGAAGAGACCTTCTGGAGCATTCCAGTACTTTCTGTGCATGAGGGGGACAATCAGCCTTCCTCTGTCTCTGCCTTAGTTTCCTCCTCTTCCAGCTTCCTGTCTGCTGGGTCCCTGAAGACCCTATTCACATTCTTGGTCTTGCCAGCTCTCCAGATTGAGCTTGTGGGGAGCCCTATCTAGTGCGCGTCCTAGCAGGCTGGTAAGGACACATAGGACGAAGAAGGGCTGTCCCCTTTGTCCCCTCTGCTTTGGCCTTGAATTCCCAGAGCAGGGCCCTGTACAACCCAGGCCAGGCAAAGGAAAGGGTCCCCAGGAGGGTCACCCCACAGTGGCAGAGGACCCACGGTGATCCTGGCCTGCACTCTTGACCGTCCCCCCCCCTTTGCTGTTCCCAGGCTCCTCAGACCTGAACCCCTTCTCGGACCCACGCCAGTTTGACCGCTCATTCTCTACGCTGCAAAGCCTCACAGAGAGCCGCTTCCCGGACCCTAGGATGCACTACCCCGGCGCCATGTCTGCTGCCTTCCCCTACAGCGCCACGCCGTCGGGCACCAGCCTGGGAAGCCTGAGCGTGGCGGGCATGCCGGCCAGCAGCCGCTTCCACCACACCTACCTCCCACCGCCCTACCCCGGGGCCCCGCAGAGCCAGAGCGGGCCCTTCCAGGCCAACCCCGCGCCCTACCACCTCTTTTACGGCGCCTCCTCCGGCTCCTACCAGTTTTCCATGGCGGCTGCGGGCGGTGGCGAGCGCTCTCCCACCCGCATGCTGACCTCCTGCCCCAGCGGCGCCTCGGTGTCCGCGGGCAACCTCATGAACCCCAGCCTGGGCCAGGCTGATGGCGTGGAGGCCGACGGCAGCCACAGCAACTCGCCCACGGCCCTGAGCACGCCGGGCCGTATGGACGAGGCCGTGTGGCGGCCCTACTGAGCACCCTGGGGACTCGCGGGCCACCCGGACCTGCCCTCCAGCTCCAAGCTACAGGAAGAAACAGACTTTGGCCTGGTCCCTGGGGCCAGAGCTAGCAATGGCTCCCAGAGCTCTGTCCAGCAACAAGTTTGAACAGAGAATGTGGGGACCTCCCCCAGGACACTGCCCCAGCCCAGACCCACCTCTGTTGTCTCCAGCCATGCCTAGGATTATCTCCTGAGCCAGAGGCTACCCCTGCCCTTGAGGAAGGAGGCCTTTGCTGGCAAGAGAAGCCCAGGCTCAGAGATATCCAAACTTCCTCTCTCTCACCCTGCACCCGGGGACCAGCCCTCACTCTGCATCCGTACCCATCAAGTCAACTGGAAACCCCAACCCCTGAGATGAAGGACCCAGGACACACCCACACCAATCTCAGACTTGACTTCCCCATTACCCTAGGCAAGCGATCCTTGGCCAGTTCTAGCTTCCCCAAAGAGATCAGTCTCCAGAGTAGACTCATCGCTGATGGCAGGTCCCTAAAGTGAGGATGGGCTCAACACCTCCAAGCACATTCCAACCTGAAGGGACAGCTTGGTTCTCAGGGGCAGAGAGGTCCTGGCAGAAAGGCTTACCGTGGGAAGCAATGGGATGGCCAACATCCCTGCTCAGTAGGCTCCCTCGGTCCAGCCGAGCTGTGTCCCAGGCCTTGATTCCCAACCCTACATGTTTATACCTAGAAGAAAACAACCTAGAAGCCAAAGAAAAAGTGACTTGTCACACATTTTAAAACAAGGTCTGTGAGAGCTGAGGCTCTATGTATCTGAAAGCCCCGCCTCTACTGGTGTGATGGCAGCAGGATCCTGCCACTCTCGGACCCCACATTCCTCATAGGAGGGGACCAGGGGCTCCAGGAGACCTTTTGGGGTCTCTGCTGAGGTGTGCGGTGGCAGATCAGTGTCTGAGCAGAGGTCAGACGGGAAGGGAGGGCTTGGCCTAGGGCTTGGATCATAGGGACTGTGAGAGACTGTCAGTGGGCTAGGTTAGAAAGCTTTACCAGAGCTGGTCCACAAACTGAGTGAGCCACTTCCTGTGTGGCCTTGGAGCTCTCCTCTAAAAGGCTCCTTCGTGATGGTCTCTGTGGTAGGGCTTGGCCTTCCCCATGGCCCACACCTGTAAACACTCCTGTAGGTCAGAGGATCCTGATAATCCCCTGCAGACACCTCTTGTTTGTTACAGTTTCTTTTGTCCCACCCTGCTGGGGGGCGGGACCGAAACATTTTCTATCTCTTGGAAGTAGCAGAGTTAGCCTTCCAGCTCCTGCACCCAGAGGGGCCTCCTCACCTCTTCTCAGGAAGCAGCTATAGCCCATTGCCCTCCTACCCGCCTCACTACTGCTCCATGGTGTAGGCTGGCCCAGGCTACCAAGGAAGACACCTCCAGGGTCCTAGCACCCAACATTGTGCGAAACACCCCAGACAACGGCCCTTCCTGATATCCAGACGCAGGTGGAGATGGGAAAGCACAGACACACACACACACACACACACACACACACACACACACCATTACTTCTCTTTCCCATCTCCGACTAACAGTGACAGTGAGGGCTGGGTCTGTTGTTGGTCCTAGGTCAGTACAGGCAGTGGGGGCTGGTAAAGATGGGTCCTTACTCTCAAGGCTGCTTTAAAGTGCTACCTGAAAGCACTGGCTAGAAGCACAAGGAGGCTGAAGGGGTTGATACAATGTCACTGTGTGGGGGTAGGTGCTGATCCTTGGTGACATTGTTCCCCTGAAGTACCCTACCTGCTGTGAGCAGGTCTTCCTGGAGGGGGCTCAAAGTCCAGGGGGAGGGGAGGGCCTGCTTTGCACTATAGGCTGCTTTGTGTGTCTTTTTTTCTTTTTTTTTTTTAATGCACAATCTGCTTGTACAGTCAACTGCCCATCTTGGGTACTATTTAACTGTAAAATGAAAATTGTATTTGTTACAATAATATAACAGATGCCTTGAAGGACCTGTGTGGGTCTTCTAGAGTTGCCATGGTGGGTGGGACTTCCTGCTCCTGGGCAAGAGACAGGGAATTATAGGACATGGCTGAGCTGGCTGTGTGGGAGATACCCCCGTGCTGGGAAGTCGTCCATCCAGCTCTATCGGGTTAGCTCCAGAGACCTGGCCCAAGGACCTCTGAAAGGCCACCTTCCTGGTTGGGCTAGCACCCCCAAACATCAGATAGGCCCTCAAGATTACACTAGCCCGTTTTCCCTCTGCTGGCCATATCAATCACAGAGACAGATGCTCCTCCACAGTCCTGTCTGACACAGATCAGATTTGAGGAGGGACAGGTTGAAGGAGCAGCCAGACACCCCGATGTGGAACCTTCCGGGTGGGTACCCTGGGACGGGTGTGGCAGAGGCCCCTCAGGAGTGATAAACTGTCTTAGGTGAAGACCTTTCCAGAGTGAGGGACTCTAGGAAATAGGGATCCCTTTGGGGAGCCCCTCTGAAGTAGAAGTGTCCCTCACCCCCGCCAGGGTAGGCTTGCTGAGACACAGGGCTGCAAAGCGGTCATTTGGAGATGAGGTAGCTGAGTAACCAAGAGCTGTCATGAGTTCCATGGCTCCCTGTAGCTGGTAGTTGCCAAGCTGAGACCACACCCTGAAAACGGGGGCTGTGGATGACAGTGGGAGCCGAGCCTGATAATCCCTTTTTACCCTTCCATTGGGGAGGTTCAGAACCCTGTCCCAGCCTGTGCCTGACCAGGTGGGACAGACAGACAGAGATTTTCGTAGGACAGACAAAGTTCTGTGGTTCCCACCTCAAACATCTAAGGTCCTGCCCTGTTGTGTTAGCCTGCCTAAGATCAGCCCCCAACAGGAAGTTCCTGTTTTCCTACCGAGCAGCACCTCTGCCCACAGAATCCTGGCCACCACTACCATAGAACCTGCCCCCCCCCCCCCCGGTACACCCTGAGTGGGACCCCAGCAGGACCTCTCCTTGGGTTAGAAGCAACATCTTCACAGTTCCACATTCTTTTAATTGGTTTATCTGAGGGTGGACCTGTAAGGCTGCCCCTATAACTTAAGAACAAAAGCCCTGACTTTATCTCCTGTCAACTGCACCCTGCATGTCAAAAGGTAGCAGACCAAGAGAGGAGAAGTCCTGGCCTAACCAGAGACAGGGCCCCCAGGAAGCCACGCAGTTACCTCTGTGGCCTGTGGGTGGCGGCAGGAGTGGCTCCCAGATAGCAGGGAGTCCCTCTCTACCCACCCCCAAACCCCTGCTTTGGAGGGAAATGTGGACCTACGTTTAGGAAGAACTCCTCAGCATCAGGAGAGTTGCTCTGGCCCTGCCCGGGTTTCCTCACCCGGCAGTGGTCGTGACAGTAGCAGCTTCCTGTCTCTGCCCTTCAGAGCCACTCTCCTGGTCACATGTCCATATGTTAGCACAGTTGCGGACCCTGAGCTCCCAGGTCCCACCGGGGAAGACAGGGACTGGAGGAGAATGGAATTCTGAGTAGGAAGGCTCCTCTGCTCAGCGGCCCCAGGCTGGAGAGCTTTCCAGAATCAAAGGATCTGGCACCGCCAGCCTGAAAGCCCCGAGGTCCTCCTGTCTCATCTGAAGAGTCAAGGAATCCGCTGACTTAATGATCTGTGACTGGCTTAGTGGCTGACTAAGAGGCAGTTCCCAGAAAGGACCCAAGCCTGTGACATCAGGCCTGAGATAGCCTAGACTCTTGTCCTGAGAAGTGCCCATCTTGTCTGGGCCACAGGAAAATAAGTCTGGGCTGCTGTGTGACATGGGGACAGGACCTGACACAGACCCTATCTGCCTCCCTTCTTAACCAGTACCCTTCCCTGCCCCAGACTGCCCGGCCACAAGCCACCAGACCCCCAGCACGGCCCCGGGAAAGGGCCGTTCTCCACCGCACCCCACATCCCAGCTAAGAGCACTTCAGTGGCTCCGTTCATCTCAGGGTCATAAATGAAACGAGCTGTCAGAAGAGCCGAGTGTAAGAACAAGCCTCTCTGGCAGGAACCCAGACCTCCCCTAACTCCTCCCCATGGGGGCTGTACAGAGTGAGGGCCCATGTCCCCCCAATATCCGCCGCTACACCTGTGTGGTCCTGGCCAGGGAGTCTGGGAAGCCGGATTCCAAGTTTCCTATTTTTAGTTTGCGACCAAGAGTGGGCTGTTTGTTTTATATATTTATATCCAGCACAGAGGGCCTGCAGAGCCGGTCAGAATGCAGAGGGGTGGGTGGCCCTGCTGTCGATGCCACTTCCCCACTGTGCCCCAATGCTGGAAACGGCCAAGACTCCTTAGTGTTAATGGGTGGCTGCCTTTGGTCACATAACCCTGCTCTACTCCTGGGGACAGTATCTTCAAGGCTTTGGTCACCGCTCGCTCACTCAGTCACTCCCCAAGTGCCATCTGCAGATGAGCAAGTCACAGCAAGGTGCTCCTCTTGGGACAGATGGGGGACTGCAGGTCAGAACAAGCACACGGCTCCTCGGAGGAGGCATCTCTTCCCCTCAGACAAGATAGAAAGACAGTAGAACATAGGGCAGACAGGACAGCGTTCTCCATCCACAGAGTCTTGTGTGTAAAGTCTGGGGAGAGGAGGCTGAGGAAGAGGGGCTGGCCTTGGTCATCCAAGACCAGAGATGGGGGGGAAGTGGGATAAACAATGTTCTGAGCACAGGAAGCAGAAGCTGTGGGCATCGGAGGAGGAAGAGCTAGACAATGTCGTGGGTACCTCTAGCTCTGAGGTCACAAGAAGGGCTCCATGTCCGAACCATTGTCGAGTTTTGGACAAGCTAGCGTTGTGCAGTCCTGGATGTCCTGGAACTTGCTACGTAGATCAGGCTGACCTCGAACTCACAGAGATCCGCCTGCCTCTGTCTCTGCCTCCAGAATGCTTGGATCAAAGGTGTGCACCGCCATGCCTGGCCAGGGTGAATGGTGATTAAGAGAATTGTTGGGACAAAGTCTTAGGAGCAGTCATTGCGGCCACTCAGCTCTCTTGGGATCTTCCCATCCCCGTCCTGGTTTCCTCATCACAGGCCTCTGACCACGCCAAGGTCCTGTAGAGGTCAGTCTGGTTCAGCCATCCACTCCCTTCTGGAGTGTGAGGATGTGGAGATTATGAGAGGAAAGCCCCAGGTTCCTGTGTTTGTGTATTACATCTTAAATATATATTTTTTAAGAGATAGGGTCTCTTGTAGCCCAGACTGACTTCGAACTTCTGATCCTCTTGCCTCTGCCTCCCAAATTTTGAGATTACAGGTATGAACCACACCTGGCTAAATAATGCTTCTTAAAGTGACATTAGATAATCCTTGATCATGGAAGGAAAAAAAGTTCTAAAAGGAACTCTAGAAAATTTACTGACAATTTCAGTGTCTCCAAAAGTGACTAGTGTGAGCATTTTGAGTTTTCCCACATTCAGACCTTTGTCTTGTATTAACTATATTAATGCTTTTTAGAAAGAAACATCTTTCTAGTCATTTTCACTGTGCATAGTTTATCAACTTTGTTTGCTTGCTTTTTTTTTTTTTTTTTGACTTTTCAAGACAGAGTTTCTCTGTGTAACCACCCTGGCTGTCTTAGAACTATCAAAGTAGTTTTAAAAGTAGATAAAGAGCCAGGCATAGTGGCTCATGCATCCAGCACTCAGAAGGCAGGGACAGGTAGATAGATCTCTGTGGGTTTGTAGCCAGTCTGATCTACATAGTGAGTTCCAGTTTCCCATATGGTGAGGCCTCCAAGTCAGAAGGAAGTCCCTCAAGGGTCTAACGCCAGCCCTGAGGGGAAACAAGATCATTCTCATTCTCCTGCGTTGTGCCTTTCATGACATAATTTTGCTATAAAAACCATCATGGGGGTGGGGGAGGGAGAAGTAGGAGTGAAAAAACATCCTTGCTTAAAAGCAGAAGCGAGAGGAACTTGAGTCTGGGGATGAGGCTTCACAGAGAACTTCTCCAGCATGCTTGGGGCCTGGGCTCCATCCCCAGCCCTGTGCAAACCAGGCATGGGTACTTAGGCTTGTAATTTCAATACCTGGGGTGGGGAGCAGAAGCAGGAGGCTCAGGAGTTCAAGGTCAGCCTCAGCTACATAGTGGGTTTGAAACCAGCCTGGGCTACATGAGACCCTATCTCTAAAAAGAAAGTAAAGAAGAAAGAGAAAAGATAAAGAGATAGAAGATGGATGGATGGATGGATGGATGGATGCATGAATGCATGGATGGATATGCAGAAAGACTGTCTACAGTCCCTTCTCCACTTTAGAAAACAAGTTGTCTTTCTCTGTTGCACAAAGCATGAAGTTGGAAGTGAATTCACTCTCCCCCATCTCCCTGGTAACCCCCAGCTGTTCTTTCTAACACTTTGGCCTGAGTCTAGACCTCTTCCCACGGGGAGTCTCTGCCAAGATGGCTGCCTTTTTCAGCCTCAGATAAGTTTTCTTTCTTTCTCCATGAGAACAACTCAGTCCTAAATCACCTATACCCAACATTTAAAAACAACAGCAACAACACAGCAACAGCAGAACAAGGCCCATCTCATCATCCAACTGCCTGGTGGGAACTGAACTCAAGTCCCCGTGGTTGGCCAGCAAATGCTGTGAACTACAGAGCAATCTGGGGTTAGGGTGAGGGGTTAGGACTAGGGGTTAGGGTTAGAGGTTACGGTCAGGGCTAGGGATTAGGGGATAGGTATTGGGATTAGGGGTTAGTGTTTGGGATTAAGATTAGGGGTTAGGGTTAGGAGTCAGCGATTAGGATTAGAAGTTAAGGTAAAGGCTAGGGATTAGTTATTTGGATTAGGGATTAGGACTAAGGGTTAGGTTTAGGGTTAGGACTATGGGTTAAGGTTAGGGGTTAGGATTAGTTTTTAGGATTAGTAGTTAGTATTAGTGGTTAGGGTTAGGTCTAGGGGTTAGGGTTAGGGTTTATGGTTAGTATTAGAGGTTATATTTGGGGTTAGGTGTTAGGGTTAGGGCCAGGGTTAGGGTTT